TTGATGTCTAATAACATTAAAACATAATCATATAAAATATACAATAATAATGATGCATAATATCTGATAACATTAATATATAACAATAACAATCATAATAATAATAATATCAAATAATATCAAATTTAATAAATGTTTACACAAAGCAAAGCGTTTGGAAATCTAGTTGGAGACCCAGATTTGGGTTTTTTCCTGTTTTCTTGCGTTAATGAGCCAAAAAAATTAGGGAAAAACTATGTTTTGGTTGATGTTTGGAGGTTTTTTGCCAGTTTCCTGAAAAGTCTGGGCTCAGAATAGCTCCTCATTTGGCTGATCTGATCACGTAAAGTCAGATTTTGCTCCTTTTTGCTACATAAATGTGAAATATTAATGAAAAATTATTCTTAATTGATCGATTTAAGACGTTAAGCCTTTAAAATTCCTCCAGTTTTGGCCTGAAAAGGCACAGATCCATCTTAACCTGCAGCCTCAGCTGGACTTTGTGTCTCTGGATGTCAGAGTTGTCACTGATTGTTTTCCTGGAGGACTTTAACTGGATAAAATGGATGAAATGGTGTCAGTTCTTGGAAATCTGAGGCATCAGGGGTGGAAAAAGGAGTCGGAACGAAATCAGTGAGCTCAAAAATCTACATTTTCTTCAGATTTTTGCCTCCTCTAACGTGCACGGACCGGTTTAGTAGCTCATTTTTTATTCTTAGACCCTTTTTGGCCCTGAGTCCTCAGTAGTAGCCAAAGTGGTGCGTTCAAGGGCCGCAGGAATTTCTTTCTGTGGTCAATAACGAGCTCATCAGCCTCTGATGGCACCACTCAGAGCTTTTAGAGACATTTATGGATCCTAAAACCTCCAATAAAGACCGAAATATGTTCATAAGATGGAGGGATAACAAGGATATTTTAGATTTAACCCTGTAATGCCAAATGTGTCATATCTGATTCATACGGTTTCTGAAATGTTTTGCGTCTGACACCTTTTGCATAATTTAATGGTAAAAACTTTGCTCAAAATCCTATTGTACACAATCAGATACACCTGATAACAGGGGGCAGAAAACTACACAAAAAATAATCTGGACTTATCGCATAGTAATAAATTATTAATATAAAAAATGTATTTCTGTTTTTTCTTTTTACATATTTTGTTTAAAGGGCAAATAAGGAAGTCAAACAAAAAAAAAGTAATTTTCTGTTTTGTTTTGTTCTTGGATCAGGCTTTAAAGGGTTAAAAAAAAAAGGCTTTTTTCAGCTCTCGGGGACATTTTCTGTGTAAATT